TGTGTGTGTGTGTGTGTGTGTGTGTGTGTGTGTGTGTGTGTGTGTGTATCTTTCCTGTGGGTTTTGCTAGGATTTTAAGTTTAGAGATCAAGAAAGAAATATGTAAATGAGAGAAATAGGACCTTTTATATCATCTTAACACATGATTCCCCACATGAAAATAAATTTCCTAAAATCAGATCTCATATAATTAACACATTCATAATTGTTATTTTATGAGTAATAAAACCACATTAAACAAAACCAGAAGCTAAGTGTAGGATAATACCTGGAATTAAAGCAACTGACAACAGCATTCTGGATATGAGGTAATTTTAGAAAAATTAATTGCATAGTGTTGACCAAAAGTTGTGGCATTCTGTAATGCTATGCTTCCTCAACTCAGCTGTAGCCTGTATTGAGTAGGACAGCTCTGTGTTAAAGAAATTTGGAATGGGAGAGGAGGAGCGGCTAAGAGCTGCTACTAAATCTCAGGTTTGGGGTGGTCTCTACAATGTTATACTTCACAGAAGGCCCATTTGCCAATGATGGCCAAAGGAATAACATATCAAACCAAAGCAGGGGTAATGAGACAGTGGTAGTAACTACAGCAAAGTTACTGTAAAACAACATCCTGAATTGTAGCAATACCTAGAGTAACTCAGAAAAAAAGGAAAAAAGATAGCTGAATAAACAGAGGAATAAGTAAATGTTTAGGATGACACATTGGATTTTAAAATAGAGTCATGAATATATATATAGTACAAAGTGAATGGAAAACTACTCTTCAATACAGGGTTCTACTTCTCACTCAATTAATGGACTGAACCACAAGCCCTTCTTCTGAACACAAAATGTAAAAGAATTTACAGCGTAACTTGATTAACAATACACTGAAGAGGATGGAATAAAATGTGGGCTTTAAAAAATTCAGTGTTTAGAAAAAAATGGACTTAAAAATTTTGAAAACCACAAGAAAACATTCATCATTTCCTTCTGAAGTATACAGACTGTTTTGGTTTGCTATATACTTTCTGGCCAATTTTCATACCCTTATATGTGGGGAGAAAACCTCACCAGATAAACTATTTATCTTTTGCTGTAATTTGTTGTTATTAGTTTACAAGATAAAATATATTTGTATTTTATTTCTTAGGGAGTCACTTTGTCTTTTCAGAGAGACACTCATTTTTGCTTAATGTTGTTTAAAAAATCAGTATCACTCAGATTGAATACTTTATAAATTCAAGCACTGTAAGTATTGATATAAAAAATAAATATTGATATACTACTGATAGTCATTATTATAAAACACAAAAGCACAACTTTTTAACTGTTTAGCACCTTGAACCTGTATGACGACAATTATTTCCTGAAATGTTTCTCTAAATTTTCACTTGCAGATGACTATTTTGCATGAAAATGGTTTGCTAGAAAAAATTTGTCCTACTCAATACAGGCATTAAATCATACCTGAAAAGAACTCAAATTTTTGAAACTGAGAAAAATCTTTTTTCCTTTTGCTTCATGAATGCCAAAGATAAAGTTCTATTTCCAACTAAACAGGCATAATAGAAAAATCAAATTTGGATTTCACCTTTTTTTTTTTTTTTTTAAAGCCCCAAAACCTTATTTAAAAAGTGAAGTTAAAAAAAAAAATCTCTTTTAGGGGCAGCTACATGGCACAGTGGATAAAGCTCCAGCTTGGAGTCAAGAGAACCTGAGTTCAAATCCAGCCTCAGACACTTCACACTTACTAGCTATGTGACCCTGGGCAAGTCACTTAACCAACTGCCTCACCGAAAAACCAACCAACAAACAAAACAAAACAAAAACAAAACAAAACAAAAACAAAAATAAAAATACCCAACTCCTGGAAGAAAAAACAATAGGCAGTAAAACCTTAAGAGAAATGCTCATACTACTTTGAATTCATAAGTAACATCTGTTTTAAAATTAAAATGTGTGTATGTATATATGTGTGTATATATATATATACACACACACACATACACACATATATAAATAAAATTGTGTGCGCACACATAAATTGGTGCATGAAAGAGAAAAAAAACAGGCCAACTATAGTCAAATTTGACTTTTGAGAAAGGCTTGTTATTTTGATAGGAATAAAAAATGTTTCAAAAGCAGTTCTTTTCTATCAAGCTACAGAAAAACTGAGTATTCATAATTGTATTTTATTAATATTTTAAAGCTAGCATTATTTCAAAGAATATGTTATATATGTATAATTTAATTTGTATTATACATATATAACTAAATAACTATAACCTATAATACATATATAACTAAATATTTTCATTTTCTATTTCATAATAAAAACTAATCTCAAAAGTATTTTTTTTTCATTTCACCGAAATGTGACAATTTTCTTTGACAACATCAAAAAAAATAATCCTACCTGTTTTGACCGAGGTCTACCCGGAGAAAATTTTCTTTTGGTAATAGCTGGTTTACCCATGCCAATTTTTGGAGTGACTGAGATATAAGTTGTTGGCATAATGTTTCCAGCAGAAGAATGTGAATTTGAAGGTTCACTGGAAAGCATATCATTTGCAGAAGTCAAGTCTAAAGAAACTATGGAAGAAGAACATATATTTGTCTTGCTCGTATCTCCTGATGAAAATGCTGAATCTGTCTCTGATGATGATTTTATAGGTTTATCTCCTAAAGGTGAACCAACTTTTAAACAACTGTCAAATGTGGGGAAATATTCCATTTCCACAATACCAGATGAAACTTTACAGATTTCATTATTTTCTCTTTCTCCTTGAACCTTTTCTTTTCCCAAGTCAATATTTGCAATTAAAGCAGTTTTTTCTTCACCTGGAGATGGTAAAATTTCTGATACAGCAATGATATTTTCGGGTGTTAATTGTGGAGATGGTGATTCTTCAAAGGATGCTGCCGCCTTCGATTCCTGTAATGCCTGTGGTTCCTCGTCTTTTGGGGAAGCCTTTGACTTTGTCAGAGCATCATCACTCTCTGTCATATTCATCTTGTTTTCATTTCCACCTTCATCATATGACTGCACCATTTTGTGAGACATTTCCATTTCATCTTTATCAGTCTGATGAGAAACTTCACTTTGTACTTCAGCACTTAATTTATCCTGTGTGGGATCTGTAAAAAATTTAAATATATATGTATGTGTGTGTATATATACATATATAGAGACAGTTTAGATCTTTAGTAATACAAATTTTTTAAAAGGTCTGACTAGACAGATATAAAAACATGCTGAGACATTTTCTGAAAAAACATACTACACACATATTGTCAATGAGACACAAGACCTAATAGCTTCTACCAGGGAATGACTTTGAATAAAGGCTGGCAGCAGCTTTAGTCAAGTCAAATACACAGGCTTAGCAGCCAATTCTTTGTTACCACCCAAAAAAAAAAAAAAAAAAGAAAGCCATGAATATTTTGGTGTAGTTACCACAATCCCTCCTAATTATGAGCACTCTAAACTATACGTTTAGCAGTGGGATTTATGGGCATAAAAAATTTAATTACTTTGGGCAGACCAACACATAGTTCCACCAAAACTTAATGAGTTGGTGAGCCCAAATTTTCTATAACCCTTAGAACATTTATTTTTCTCTTTTGTCTTCTTTGGCCATTTTCTAAGCGTGCGGTAAAACATCAGGGTTGTCTATGTTTGCATTTCTCTCATAAAAAGTCATATGGAACATTTTTTCATATAGTTAATAGATTGCAATTCTCGAGAGAACTGTTTCTTTGTACCTTTTGGCTACATATCCATTAGTTCATTTGTGGTAATTCCCTATGTATCTTCAGTAGCTATACTTTTATGGTAACAACAACAAAAACAAACAAACAAACAAAAAAAAACAGTAAACATAATGAGTGCCCCCATCAACTGATGAAAAAGCTCAATAAATTTTGCTAAGTTACTATAATGAAGTGAAAGAATTCCAGGCATTCGGGAACAAATCTGGTTTTCAAAAAGAAATGAGAAAATAGGTAACTAAATGTAAAGAACACTGATCACGCTCTCAGACTTAGTTGATAGGTTAGGTTTTACAGAACTTTTAAAAAACCCTTTCTTTTTTCTTTTGACAAGATGTCTCTTACTGGCTAGAGGAATTGGAAGATACTTGTATTTAGAAATGTATATGATGGATAAACATAAAGATAGTAAATATTTTTAATAAAATAGCCGATGTGTCATCAGATCCAAATGGGAACTTCCAACACTAGAATAAAACACAACTTAAGCAAATTTAATAATAAAGATACTTACCAGGAATTAAAGGACTGCCTGTTCTAAGTCCCACTGATGGGCTGATGGTCTTCATATTAGTCTGTTCTTCATCACAGTCACGGATAGCTGCTGGAAACAATTTTATGAAGTCTCCAACAGTTTGTAAAATCTTCATCTAACACTTAATCTAATTATATTATTATCAGGTGTATTAATTTGAGATCTCTCTTCCTCCACAAAACAATAAACAATTTAAATAGATTATTACTATCAATACCCTTCTTTATTCCTTCCCATATACCTCAGGTATTACCTACACTAAATTTTTTTTTTAATCTGTTACTTACTTTCCCTATTTCAACCTACAGTATTTCTATGTTCTTTAATTATTACATGAAAATTATGTAATGTTATGAAACTTGAAAATCCTAACAACTTCATGCTTTTTCTCCAAAGAATGGGTACTACTCAGCAAATCGGGTTAAAGGAATATGGGATTAATGTCTTCAGAATTCTGAAAAATCACTTCCCCATAAATCCAAACTAACAACTCCATGCGCATGTGTGCATACGTGCTTGCACACATACATACACACACACATATACACATGCACAGTGTACCTTAAAACAGTGCACTTTTAAATTTTAACACCTTCAGAAGTATAAATGCTACAAAGTTACAAAAACTTTAATTTCTGTAATAAGACTGGATACCCTGTCATGCAATGTATGTGTGTGAAAGTTTTTGGATACAACTTTCTTAGTGCATAGGTAGAAGACGTCCTCCAGCTTGCCCAACTCTATCACCTAACCTACATTTAACAGATTTTTTTTCTTAAGCGGTTACATCAAAATTGTGAAGAATGGACCAAAGCCCTGGATTAGCCTTAAGTTTGAGCAGCAGGTGATGAATGGTTTAACAGAGACAAAAAATCATCTAGAGTAATGCATAATACAAAATAGTGCTCATATTTAATTTTAGTAGAAGCATATCAGTAATTTAAAATTGTGAATGAATCATTCATATGTTTTTTGAAACTATGCAGCACTTACACTTTTAAAGTTATTAAAGTTCAAAAATACAAAAAAAAACTTTTGGGATACTATGTTGTGTACACATTACATACGCATGCATACATGGATATAAATGGATTCTTTTCTATAGTTTATTAATAGAATTTAAGGTTATCAAGGGGAGCGAATTTATCTTAACTATGTAATGTCCTACATGCAAACATACTGCATGAAGTAGGAAATTAATAAAATAATAAATATTTGGCATATCAGTTATAATACTAATATTTAGCTAACATTTTAAACATTTCCTACTTATGAGGTCAAGCTTTTTTTAAAAACAAACGAAAAATTAAAACAAGTATCAAGAAACATTTAATTAAAAGCACATGAGTATGCGAGGACATGATAAAACTTTTAAAGATAGAGATGATTTTCACTTTCATCATCTGAATTGATATGCACCAATAGGATGGTTAACAAAAGATCAAGTTTTAGCATACCCCTGCAAACTAAGAAGGTACCTCAATCCCCATCAATTTTCCTACATAAGCTTAACTTCTAGAGTAATCATCTCATACTGGGAGTCTTCCCCTAAGGGTTAGGTTTTACACCATTATTTTCTAATTTAGTTTTAATTCAGTGAGCTACAGAATGTGTGTGTTTGTGTCTGTGTTAGATGTATGGAAAACATAACTATCTTAACACATTTTATTACAGATCTTCTTACCAACTGGAACAATTTCAGGTATTGAGTCCTGATGTAAAGAATTGCTTCTTGCAGCTTGGTCCATAAACACCAAACTGTCACCAACTCCTTCTGTTTCCATTTCGTTAACAGAATCTTAAAAGGAAAAAAATTTCTACTGATTAGGATCAATCTATGATATGTATTTTAAGAAGGCTGATGGTTCTCTAGAACTCCATTACTTGACGTGTGAGTAGAAATATCAGGTCCTACTATTGCTTCATCTCACTAAAACAAGATGCTATAAAAATGAAAAATTGATTCTTATTCTTCTCAACATCTAAACTAGTATATATGTTAGTCAATACTATAAAAATGTAGAAAAGTAAAAAATATATCACAAGATAAATATAGTCAGCGCTAAATATTCTAAAATTAGTATTTAAGGAATGCAGTAAAAAGCAATATAATGAATATGGGTTTTGCAATCAGAAAATATAAATTGAAGTCCCAGAATATATCATTTAAGACAACTATGACACTGGGCAAATCACTTCCCCTCTCTCAGGAACTCCCCTCTCTCAGGAACTCTCTAGCCATGTATATTTGATCTAACAGAAAGGCTGATACAATAAATACAAGTGTAACACTATACCATTATTTCTATTAAATTTAAACGTGTTATAATCAGTCCAAAGTTCTAGGCTGTTGATATGTTTTATGATCTTGAATGTGTTATCCAACAAGACAATTGCTGAGAAATACAAAAGCTGCAAATTTTAAGCATGACATCTGTCTTATCTATGCCAATAACTTTTAAATAAACCCTTCCTCATACTTCACTGAAAAAAATTAAGCCATTATTTAGTGCGCTCCTTTCTTCTCTCTCCAATTCTCCAGTGCAAATCACTATAACATTATTAAGTTGTAGTCATAGGAGAATAAGCAGCCTTCTCTTTATCAAGACCAACTGTTATACTTGTGTCCTTGTTACCATCACCTTTCTCCCCCTTATTTTCCATCTCTCCTCATCCAGTGACTGCTTCTCTATTTGCTTTACAAACCATCCCTAAACTTTTATTTATATGATCCTAAAATCTCTCAAGCTCTTTTTCCTCCTGCAGGCTTTTCCAGACTGTCCATCAGGCCTAGAATATTGTCTTGGCTTCCTTGAAGACTCACCTAAAACCCCACCATAGAAGAGGCTTTTCCTTGTTCCCAGACTATTAAACCCCTACTTACACTTTTATACATGTAGATTTTTAGTATAATATCTTATCCATTACAATGTAAGCTCATTTAAGGGGAAGCACATAGTAAACTCTTTATGTTTGATGAAATCACCTGTACCTCATAGAAACCCTCTTTTTTTTAAGACAGGGCTCAACTGCCCAAAGGGCTATAAAACCATGCATACCCTTTGAACAAGCAATACCACTACTAGGTCTACATCCCAAAGATATGAAAAAGAAAAAAGAAAAAAGAAAAGGACCTATATGTACAAAGTTATTTACAGCAGCTATTTTAGTGATGGCAAACAAATGAAAATCTAAGTCATGCTGTGAAAGAAAACACAGGCCATCCCCTCAAAAAAAACCCAAAATAAAGAAAGTAAAGAAAAAGTATTTTTAATTTTCATTCAACAGTTCTCTCTCTGTAGATAGCACTTTTTATTATAAATCCAGATCATTTTATTTCTGAAAATTATTAAGTTATTCACAGATCATACAATGTAACTGTCACTGTGTACAATGCTCTCCCAGTTCTGCTCGTTACAACTTGTTCAGCTGTTCCCCAATTGATAGACATCCCCTCAATTTCCAATATATATATATGTTTTGCTAAGTTAATCAAAAGTAATATTGTTTTGAAAAAGGGGTTAAATAATTGATACAGGTGAATAAAATCTGACTAAAAAATCTAACTAGGTCTTTTAACATAATTTAGTATAATAAAAAACATAAGAAGTTATAAACAAAAGGGTTGTGAATAAAAGAATGCTTGAGCGGCTCCTATATAAATAGATAATAAGTACAATACTTATAAATTATAATTAAAAATATAAGCATAATATAAGTATTATATAATACTGTATTGATTATATTATATTTAAAATTTATATTATGTATTATATATTATATAATAATTACATATGGATATTTATAATTTATATATTTATAATTGTATATTACATTAAAAATGTAAGTATTATATAAGTATATGCTATAGGCTACATAATATACATATTGTTTTACAAACTATACATTGTATATATTATTTTATACTTGAATAAACTGAGATGAAGGTTAAGAAGGGAGTCCCAAGTATGCTAAGGTACTTTCAAAAAATAAGAAGAGAGGCAGCTAGGTGGAAGAGTGAATAAAGCCCTGTCCTTAGAGTCAGGAGGACCTGAGCTCAAATCTGATGTCAGACCAGACACTTGACACTTATTAGCTGTGTGACCCTGGGTAAGTCACTTGACCCCAACTGCCTCACACACACACACACACACACACACACACACACACACAAAAAAGTAAGAAGAAAATCAGGACAAGAAACTGACAAAAAACACAGGGCTCTCATACCAACTTAGGCCAACTGGACCTAGAGGGAAGACTCTACCCTATAACTTCTCCAGAACCTCATCTATTGGGCAGGAAGGTCAACAAAACCCAGGTTTAAAAAACAATGGTAGCCCCTTACTCTGTTGCTGCCCCTAATCCCACCTATTCATTCACTTGCTGCCAATTTCACTATGGCCTCATGCAGGAATGGGGAACCTGCAGCCTCAAGGCCACACGTAGTCCTCTAGATCCTCAAGTGCGGCTTTTTGACTGAATCCAAATTTCACAAACAAATTCCGTTAATAAAAGGATGTTAGGCCCTAATGCTTCAAGTGTCCCAAAACGGCTGGGAGTTTAAGAGTTATAGTACATGTGACTTCTGCTTTTATTCATATTCTGCTTTTTGAAATCACCTCACATGAATTTGTAATCTCAATGCACAATCAATGCACAATGGGCATATCTGCCCATTCCCATGTGATTCTTGTCTATGTCCTCTCACAGGTCACAGTTAAATGTCTTTTCAATGTGCTGGGGCCATTTGATTTTACTGGGACACCAAAGCTATGTTCAGACTATTCAATGGGTATCATTCACTCTGCATGTGACTAATCTGTCCAGTTTGCCAGCAAATTTCTTTGATGACATCCCTGATAGAGCCCTTCTTTATAGATTATTATTTTTAATGTGTGGCAGCAAGTTCATTTTTAATATGTGCCTCTTCTTTGCACAGTGGGTCACCTTCATTTCAATTCTTTGGCAAATGCAATATTTAATGACTAAAAAGAAAATATCAAACTTTAATAATATAAGCACAAAAATATCAGTGAAACACCTCTTTACACAGATGGGTTTGAACGGAGTTATACACTACATTTTCTCATTTTTCCTTCTTTTACCTTAGTAGCTTTGTTTTAATGAGTTGATGATCTGACTACTCTAATAAGCTGATGATCTGTAAATGACTATAGCAGCAATCAGATTTAAAAAAAAATTTAACTACAAGCAATTTCATTTTCACATGACATTATTTGGAATATCTGCCAAGGCTCCCTACTCTCTTCTTCAAATATTAATGACTTACAGGCATGGGGCTTACATATATTCAACAAGCTTTTATCACACATCTAACTCCTGGAGTGGTTTTTTATCACATTTTTTTTCAGCTGTCCTCCCTTATGCCCACCTCTGCCCTGAAGTCACAAAGCTGTAAAATGTGATTTCATTTGAAAGGTTTTATGAAATTCTAACTAGAACGTATCTGTAATCATACTCTGCAAAAGATGCTGGTGCATAATTTTCAACAATCTTCATGGTACTCTCTTTGCTACTTCTTTTCATAAATACTTCAACTTGAGATAAGCAAAGATACCATCAAATGATTTCTTGCCCTAAAACACATTAAAAATACCTTACAGAGATATACTGTGCCATGTTCTTTAGCGATGTCTACCAATAACACAAAAGGTGAAAATTTTAACACTCATTATGTGATATTATTAATCTTATTATTTTGAAAGACTAGTTTCAAAGTATATTTTCTCTCAAATCAGTTCTTACATAATTAGTTCCTGATAATTAAAAAATACATCAATTGGGCAGAGTTTAAACAACATTTTAACCACTAGATGGAAAGAATCACCAACATAAATGAATTTATCTAAAGACTCACCAATAAAGAACTTAATTGAACTATCAATACATGCATCCTATTAAAGAATTAGAAGGGCAGTATTGCATGATTTTCTGTAATTCTTAAAAATTATTATAAATCCCCTCAAAGAGTTTAAAAATAAAATTATGACCTCTGTTACCTAAAATTAGATCAAATAGAGCAAGAACTTCAAAGCAGATAACCTCCATTTTTCTTTGTTCACAACTTCACAAGGAAGACAGTCACACTGTGTACTACTGAACTTTACTGATTTTACTAAAAGATGCCTTCATGAATTAGTTTCATATAAAGAAAAATACTCAGTTTTACCTGTATCAGGCTGGGGAATTGGTTCAGAAGTCTCCATTTCATCACAAGGTTGCACTGGATCCATATCTCCTAACTGTTTACAATACATGCAGACATATTCTTCTTTTAACTGTGAATCTAATTCAGTATCTGCCGCTTTGTCACATTCTATATGAATCCATCTGGAGTAATTAACATTAAAAAAAATTTAAATAAAATTACACAAATTAAAATAGCTTTAAACTACATTCAACACATAGATGCAAGGAAGAGCACCAAGTAAAAGTGAGTATAGCAATAGCACAAATATTTCAAACAAAAAGGGAGATGTTGAAGGAACAGAAATCATAAAAAAAAGTATCAGTTATCTTCGACTGGAAAAGGTCATTGTTGATGACACTATGCTATTTTATATCTTCCTTTTTTTCCTCAATTTGCCTCATTTCCTTTGATTTCCTTTTTCTTCTTTTCTAGATGTTCATATTTTTCTTCTTCCCCTTTCATATAATTTTCTTTTTTTTAGAAGTTGCCAGGAGCACTCATGCTACTTAAGCCTGGCAATTCTAAGAGGTAAAAAGGTTGTTGGTCCCTAACTCAGATAATATCATCCCTTTTTACTAGAAGGGACTGGGGACCCAAGAACTAAAGGAGACTAGAGATGGACATCTTCAAGAATCATTATGTCTGATTCATTTCAAGCAATAAATCCGGCCTCTTACCTTTTACACATGTGACAATGCAACATGTCTTTCTGCAAGTCTGATTGGTAGCACTTTCCACAGAAAGGGCAGGCCAAATTGTCTTGAGGTTGATAACAACTGTCACATACTAGGCAATTGTGGTGCCACTGAGAGCTGGTTCGAGTGCCACATTCTGCACATATTCTGCAGTTCTAAAGATCATAAAGTAAACATAATTTCAGATATATTTTAAACTGACAGAAGTTGTATTTCTGGACAACAAGGTAAGACTTTACTTTGACCATTATGAATTGAAAAAAATGTTTAAAAGTAGAAAAAATTTTTCAATAATATTTGTAGTTATTAAACAATAAACTGTATTGGAAAAAATGACTTGAGTACACAATTATTAATATAAATTTAAAATGAAAAATCACAACTACTTAAGCTGTGTTCTCTAAGGTAAAAATTAAATTTGACCTTTTTTTTGGGGGGGGGGCATGGCAATTGGGGTTAAGTGACTTTCCCAGGGTCACACAGCTAGTAAGTATCAAGTGTCTGGTCCGACACCAGATTTGAACTCAGGTCCTCCTGAATCCAGGGCTGATGCTGCCCCCTAGTTTCACATTTTACTAATGAAGAGAAAATAAAAAGATTACTGCCTCTGCCAAATACACAATTAACTCTTACTCTCTGAAGAAATCAAATTCTATATTGAATTATCGCCATAAAGCTGTCATTCTATACATGGCTATAGTTACATTTTTAATACCATAAAGATATCTACTACACTTATTAAAAGATTTATCTAATGTGATAGTCATCACCATCAATAGAATGGCATCCAAAAAGGTCAAAATGTTTGTGTTTTGTTCTTTGAAACAGTTACAGCTTTTTAAAGCAGTGTCAAAAGATACTTTAGCCTTCTCGTGTAATTATAAAAGAGGTTTCTGTGAGTTATTCACCAAAAAAAAGTGTTTTTTCCTCCCAGTATCAAGTTCCATATCTCTAAGAGACTATGGAGAAAATTCTAAGAGGGTGGTTGATGCTACAATTTGAGTAGCCATTTGTTCACAGCACATATTCATATATGCATACATATCTATATGGATTAAATATCCACCATCACATCATTTTTCTCAGCATTTAAGCAATAACAGAGGTAGAGACTGGATTGAGGTGCTACCAATAGAAAAAAACATCACCTTCAAGAAACAGAATTGTAAACTTTTTATCTCCTCATCTATTCTAAAATCTGAGCCCCATAAGTCTATTTTAGTTCTTCCTCTCTTCCACAGCACAAAAAAGTCAAGGTTCAGCCCAAGAATAGACCTGATCCTTTAAAAAAAAAAAATAAACTGGATCACACCAGATGTGAAAAGAGTTCTGCCCTAAAAGATCCTTGCCTCCTGGGTCCTTTATATATCTCTGGTGCATTTCAAAGAAAATTTAGATTCTCTTCTACTAGACTGCAAACTCACTGAGAATTAGAACTTGTCAGCTTATCTTTTTATCCCACTTCCCCTCAATACCTTATAAGTAGCTCTCAACAAATACAGTTTAGTGAATGAATTTGAGTAAAATCCAACCCATTCAAGCTCATTCAAGAAACTGGACTTCTAATTTTGGCATTGCTAATGACTGTTCCAGTGACCTTAGGCAAGTTAATTAATGTCTCTATTCTTCAATTTCCACCTTGGATAATAAAGAAACTTTGAATCTGATTTGTAAAAATCTAACCTGTTACAAAATTCTAATATCTTGTCCATAAAAGTGTATAATTCAATCACAGGCTACGAACTGGTTTAAATATTAATATTCTACTATGAACAGAGCAAATTGTCATCAACACTTGAAAAAATTATTTGTTGGGATTTTTTGTTCATACTCAATGTCAGTGGAAAAGGTCAAAAGCTTCAGCATCACTTACTATTTTTTACTATCTACTTTCAGCATTTTGATGATAAATACCAAAAACCACACCCCATCTTTAAAAGATACAAAAATATGCTTTAAAAAATTACAAAATCTGTTTTCCTTCATATGGAAGGATAGAAACCTTGCCCCATAATAAGGAAACTATTACCCTTTTTTAGGGTTAGGACTTCAGCTAAAGAATGTTGGTAGAAAGCATAAAAAATGCCACTTCGGGAAAGGAGGAGACCATTAGAAATAAAGATAAGAAAATGAAACAAGTAGAGAAATTAAGCTGTTGAATATTGAGGAAAGATCTAAAATCAAAGGAACTTAAATCAAAGATTAAAGATGAAAAAGGGGGTTAAAAAGGACTATGAGGCAAAACAATCAGAAGGAGAAACAAGGGTAAATTTTTAAGGAGAAAGGTATGATTCATGGTGTTACCTAAAAATGAACTTTACATATTAGCAAATTCTAACTTTAATTTACGTGAGCAATAGGATTTAAGTTTAGGTTAGAAAACAGTTTCTTTATTTCAAGTTTAATTCACAAATGAACTTTTTTTGTCTTCAAAATAGAAGAGACCAACAAAAATTTATTTAAATAAAAATCATAACCTACTTTGCATTTCCAGCCATTTGTTGGTACTGAATCCATAACTGGTTGAAGACAAAAAGTGTGATACCCTTTGTCGCATGTATCACATACCAGCATCTTGCTATCTTCTCCAGAGTGCCTATAAAAATAAGTTAGCAGTAATGACACAAAACAACATTAGAAGTTTTTAGTATAGTAATAAAGTAATAGTAAAGAATATATTTTCTGTTAAGATGTATTCCTATTTCTAAGTTCATAATTCATCTCATACGGGATATGAACTACTTTTGCTCCTAGCTTCTATTTCTGTAGATATGAAGAAAAATGAGGAAAACCATTGGGCAAGGGCCTGCTGTTCACTTCCCCCATCAGCAGCATCTTCTTCCTCTGTTCCATGTCATATATCTCTCCACATATCTCTAACCACCTGATTTCAGGAATCCATCACTTCTACAACTGTCAACTAATAATTCTTATAGCTTTCATTACTTCAAATATATCTTCTAAACAGCTACCAAAATAATTGTACTAAAACACATATATAAAAACTGTCACTCTATTGCTCAAAAAAAAAAAAACAAAAACAACTTGCAATGGTTCCCCCTAGCCACAAAGATAGAATATAAATGTGAATGGCATTTAAAGTCATTCACAATGAGATTATAGCTTTCCTTCCCAGGGACAATGAACATTATTTCTCTTAATATCCTCTAAATTCCAACCAAAAAGACTACTTGCTATTCTGAGAAATAATACATTTCACATCCTCTCTCTGTTTCTGAATACTTGGTTTCTGTTTGTTAAAAATTCTTATCTTCCTTCTTTTCCTATGAGACCTTTCTATTATCAGAAAAGTTAATCCTTTCTCCCTAAAAAAAAAAAAAATTACCTATGATTTATCTATCACTGTACAAGTTGACTCTGGAAAAAGGGAGGTTTCTTGACAATAACGACTATAGTTGATTTTCTTCACAGTCCCAGGGCTAAGTGTAGTACACATATAAGTTGGGTTATAATAAATATTTAGCTGAGCTGAATCCCTCTGTCTTCCTGATTATTAACCTCACCCAGTCAATCAAATCAGAAAAGGACCTAGTATTTATATAAAAGATTAATATGCTTTAAAATTTATTCATTTTAATGTACTAATTCTCCTATTCTTATCATTTTAAATACTGAATGAAAAAGTGTGCCCACACTTTAAAGAATTTCAGGTATCAAGTAGATAGAAAAGATTTCTACTGGGCAATAAAGAAAACCTTTCCAATATACTTTAATATATTAATGATTAACCATGTAAGTAAATCTGTTGTACTCATTTTAGAGTTTTTGTGGGTAGGAAGGAACAAGTCAGGTTCTTTCTCCTCAGACCTCAACTATGCTCTTGAGGGGTGGGAAATGATGATTACCTCTGGCAGAAACAGTTGAAAAGCTATTCCCTGGTAATTTCTGAGTATTACAGGTTACAATCTCAGGAAATTAGTGGCTTTTTTTAGCTGCCAACTACCCTGTCTTCATCTGGTTAACCGTGTGTTCTCAACCATTCCCCACAATTTTAACTCAAATTTCTGTCCCATCATGTTGACTCTCAATACCAGGAAATCAAAACATATCTGAGAGCCTACCTTCCCTGATGCAAAAAAAGAATTAAGGTATGACCTTCCATCTGATCATACACCTTCAATCTCCAGTTGTGTTCTCTTTTCTCCTCTTCATTTCGTATCACTCAGATGTCTTCTGTCACTATCTCCTAATTCACCCTGTGTCATATGAGGAGGCAGTCCAAATCCTTGCCAAAGGAAAGCTCTGCTAACACAAGAGATCCTATTCCACCCTATCTCCTACAAAAGACTTCCTCCTTTGCTGACCCCTTTCTCTTCCATTTTGTCTCTTTCTACTGCTAGGACCCTTACCTATTGTCAATAAACACATTACCACATCTCCCCTATCCTCGAAAACTCCTTCTTTGATCCTTCTATTACCAATAACTACCATCCTAAATCTCTTCTTCCCTTTGTGGAAAAACTCCTTGATGCCATCTAAAAAGATGCCTCCACTTCCTCTCCTATCATGGACTTTTTAACTCCCTACACTCCAGCTTCCAATTTCATCATTCCACCAAAACTACTCTCTTCAACGTTGCCAGTAATCTCCTAACTGCCAAATCTAAAGGCATTTTCTCAATTCCCACTCTTTTTGACCTCTGTATAGGTTCTGACAACATAGACCATCCTCTCATCCTTGATATTCTATTCTCTCTAGGTTTCTAGGTCATCACTCTCTGTTGGTTCTCTTTTCTAAACAAGTCTTCTCAGTTTCCTTTACTGAAACAGGTCATGGACACTAACCACAGGTTTCCCAGAGGATTCTGCCCTGGGACCGCCTCTCTTCTCCCTCTGCACTGCTTCATTTAGTGATCTCATCAGCTCCCACAGATTTAAGTATCATCTCTACGTTGATGACTCTCAAATCCACCAATCCTACCCAAACCTTTATACTGACCTGCAGTCTCTAATCTTCACCTGTAGCCAATCTAAACGATAGCTATGCAGTCTTTCAACTATCTCTAGCTGTTGAAAATTCAGAACACTTAAACAAGAAAACTAGGACTGGTAAAGGATGATTTCTTTCTTCCCCAGTTCAAAGAGCCTTTAGATATTAGGGAATTTAAACACACATGGTGTCCCTTAAAATATGTTCAGCTTAGGTGCTAAATCTCATGAACTTCTATAATCTATTCCATGATTTCACCTCAGGGATAATTAAACCCTTTATCTCATTATGAACCAATTCTATGACCAAAAATGGAGAACGCATCAGCAACTACATGACCAATTAGCTCTAATCATATGATCTTCAAGTCATCTACACATTCATCCCCAGTTTTGTTCCTGAACTTTCCAGGCAACTGGTATATCACCAGATGCCTAGTGAGGCATTTTGAAAATATAACTTATTACCTTTTCTCCCAAATCAGCCCTTCCTTATAACTTATGTTTCTGAAGAGCACCACTATTCTTCCAGTGACTGAGATTTGCAACCTTGAAAACATTAACTCTTCACATATTCTTCATTCTATCCATATCTAATTAGTCAATTGATTCTATCTCCACAACATCTCACTTCTAACCCACTGTCTTCCATAAAACTGCACTACTTGAGATCCTTATTACATGTCACTTGAACTATTTAAATAGTCTCATAATTGTTTTCTATGTCTTCTAAACAATCATCCGTGTAGCTGCCCAAAGCTATTCCTAAATCACAGATCTGACCATATATGCCACCATGCTCAAAAGGTTCCAGGGGTTCCCTAATATCACCAAGATAAAAATTAAAACCCCTCTATTTGGAGAATAAAGACACTGACCATTGCTGATCCACAACTACTACACATTACTTGTCCCTCATGCTTTCCACAATCCAGTCAAACTGTCCAGATTATTGCTCCTCACTCACAGCACACAAGGCCCAGCTCCATGACTTTAAACAAAATATTTTCTGGGGCTAGAAAATACTACCTCACCTCTGCCTGTTTAAAACCCTAGCTTTCCTCAAAGCTCAACAGAAGCACCATTTCCTTCATAAGTCTTTTCCTAATCACCTAGCATAAGTGTCTGGTTACCACTAGCAAAATTATTTTTATACTTAGTGTACGTACACAAACACACACACACACACACACACACACACACACAGAAGCTAAGTTACAATATAACTTGTAAGTCTCATTGCCTTTGTGACTTTGGCACATCATGTAGGCTCTGGGTCTGAGTTCACTCTGTTAAAATGAAGGGTTTAAAAGACATGATCCTATGACATGGAACACACAAATTCAAATAAATCAATTACCAACAAATGTATAGGCATAATCTTCTACATTCCATATATCCAGAAGCCCTGTAAATACATGTTACTATAGTTAAATTTCTTTTCATAGATTAAGTGGAATACAAATTTAGAACTTATTGATTTCAACGTGACAAAACTAGGTCACGCTGCTTCTCAGTATAAAATTGAGATCTGCATCATTTTGATGGGTAGAGGCAAACCTCTAACTGGTGGTACTAACAAAGCAAATATACATTAGAAACAAACCAGAAACTATACAACTCATTGCCTACATTTAGAATTGCAATCAGAAAACAATAAAGAATTTTGGGATGGAGGCAGCAGTACTTGGAAATGGATATTTTTGTACCAAAGAAACCCTAAGAGGATATAGTTTTCTGAAATGGGATACTATAGCCATGAATTTTCTAAGGCATAGGGGCCACAAGCACTCCTTTTCTCTGTCTGAAGGAGGAAGTAATTGGCCACTATTCTGCATATAACTTTTTCATAAGCTTGTTATTCGAAACTTGGGACTGCAGGGTGTAGAATGTAATCTTTACTCCTCAATGAAGTGAGGAGCAAACAAAGACATAAAGGTAAGGATATGACCAACCTCAACTGAGCCCTTCTGGATCTTTCTCTTTCTTCTAAATTGAAACTAACATAATAATTTTGTAAAAACTTTGCTATAGCAAAAAATATTGTTTCCCACATCAAATTTCCTTAGAACAGTATATCTGCATCTAATAGAATTCAAAAAACTATTTTTAAATGCCTACCATGTGTAGGACATTGTACTAAACAGAAGATACAAAGACAAGATGAAAAATAGTCTCTTTTCATCCCAACATTTCTTACCTTATAAATAATCTATGTATATTATACATTACTTCCAAACTCATGTCTCCAAGTAGAATGCTCTTTAAGGGTAGTAACTATTACTTTTCCCTTTTGGAATCACTAGTATATAGAATAAGATTTTCCAAAGATATTTAATACGGTTCTTTGTATAGGTGCTCTATAAGATAACAGATTCAGAGCCTTAAGGAACCTTTAGAGGCCTTCTTCATTTTAACAGACAAGGAAATTAAGACACAGATGAGTTAAGTTGACTTACAAAGAGTCACATAACTAGGATGTGTCTGAGCTAGTATTTGAACTCAATTCCCTAATTCCAAGTCTACCACAATATCTCAAGAATGATGCCTGCTGATTCAATATTTAAACGTAAGCTAAGCCAGCCCCATAATCCAAGTATCTTCCCTGTCCAGTTTTCCAAAGCCTAGATTCATGAGATCATGGATAAGCACCTGAGACAAGGTAACAAGGTTTCTTTAGGTTAGATCTCGGAATTTTCAGTAGACTTTCAGGACAGCTTCCTAGTCTGCTCAATTTTTCCCCTCAATTACTAACGGTATAGAAATAAAGTTAGGAGCCATAAACATTCCTTTTTATTCGCATCTCAGGTAGGGCTTTAAATTTAGGAGGAAGTTGAATGCCCCTTTGCTTCAAACAATAAAAAACTTCCCGTACATTCACTGGTTAAAATTGTCCAAATTAGCAACTCATTTCAGTTCACATACAAACATCCTTAGGAAAGTCAAAGAGCTGAGTAGATGGAAAAAAATAAATAAAGTAGTAGAGATAATATGGATAGGAAAATGGCTTTAAAAAGAATAGTTTAACCAGATTACTTTTAGAACAGATTTAAGGGACGTAGAAATTTTGATACAGGAACCACAGTTGTAAGAAAGAAGCTTTAATAGGATCTTAAGACGAACAAAATGCATTGTTATTTTGCTAATAAACTCTTTAAGAACAGGGAATTTTTAGCTCATGTCTTGGTATCACTAGAGGAAACCAAGAAATTTTGTGACTGCAATTTGGTATCACAAACATGCCTGTCTCCGAGGATAGAAACAAGCTGAAAGGAATATTAATCTAGGTGAGAGGTATGAAAAACATGGCTCACAGTCTACATGTGGCCCTTCACTCTCCTATGCATAGGTTGAATTGGATTAAATCTTAATTGGAAAATATTTAACAAAATAAGTAAAAATACAAAAAACCCCATAAATATTACATTTTTAAAGTAAGTCAACACGGAGCCAGCAAGAATACTTATGTATGGATTGCTAGCCCCATTTCTGAGTTTGACTCGACTCGTTTAGACATTTATCATAAATTGTTAAAGTGGCTTTCTGCTAAGAAATATTCTTCTGTGAATTTAGCCAAAAATTGGTCTATTTTCCTGGATGATCACTACTTGATAACATAAACAGGTAAGGTTAAACCAGGATAAGCTGGTACAACGGGATAAAAACTTTAACATTACTAAACATCAGCTAAAGGAAAAAAGAATTAGTAACTCAGTCCATATGGTGAAAACCTAGATTTGTTTTCAATCTTTCCATACATAAAAAGAGATTTACCGGGGTAGAGCTAAAAGACACATGAATATTGCATCTGAGGGACTACGTTCAAATTCTGCTTGTACAACTATTTACATGACCTTGAACAATCACTTAGTATTTCTGGGCTTCATTTTCTTCAAAACCTATAAAATGATGGGATTAAACTAAATGACATCAAAGGTTTGTCCAAGGTCTAGAGATCTATGATTGGACTAAGTCAGATCTTGATTACACATGCTTATCCACATCAGGATGTTAATGCTTGTTGAATTCAATTACCAATGGGAAAAGCAGAGAAGCAGTGTAAAACAGTCAAGTGAAAATTTTATTATATAATTCATATCAATTAGAAATGACTATTACTAAATTGTATACTAAATAATAATGAAAACATGTTTTGAACTGATATTTTTAAGTAATGAAGCTAGATCATAACAGAACTTTCTGTATTTTCCAGCCACTCTGACTAATGAACAATACAATTCAGTCCAGAGAGACAGAAGTTCGCTCTACAGACGGTGAGAGCCCTAACAGCAACAAATGCCCTTTGCATTTTCTTTGTATCCCCAGCACTCAGCATGGTGACTGGCACATAACAGTTCTTAATAAATGTTTCCTCACTGATTTTAACTGAGTTAAACATGGGAACAGAACTTAGAACTTTGGCTTCTCCAGTAACATACTCTTGAAAAGTAAGTCCCACTTAAGATTAGGCATAAAAATTAGCACGGACCACTTAAAATCATTTCCATATCTAGACCATGAAAGGTATAATATGGTAATTTACCAAGTCACTGTCTAGGTCACTAATCATTTTAGACACAGAAGGACATACTGTCTTTTCCTTGTTGATTATCAGGTTCCTCAGTTTGAAGCTTAAAAAAATAAGACGTAACAATTAAGGAGAACCGAACCAATTGGATTCTCTCATTTATCAGTACCCAAACTTAAGGTTAAGACAAAAAGATCAAAAAAAGGCAAAAGAGAAAAACAAAAAGGAAAAACATAAAATAAGATTTGGGATCACTTGGCACACATTCTCCATGTCACTGCTTTAATCTGAGGGCTGTAAAGAGAAGAGTTTACTTCTCCCTGTGCCCATGTAGCAAAAGTTCTACATCAATACCCACCTTAAATTGGCAAGACAGAAGTACCCTTACTCAAGAGGAGTTAACCCACTAATTGTTCTTTATTTCACATGATGCCATATAGTATAGTTAATATGATACTTTCTAATTAGGTTGCTAATTGTTTCAGGTTAAATTCAACAAACTGAGTAACTAATATTTCCCTAATGCACTGATACAGTATAATAATATTAGCTAAGTTACGTAGGATATTACGGTTTGCAAAGCACTTTAGTACTATCTCATTTCATTCCAACACTCAGAATGTGGTGTATAATCTTGCCTCTTAAATATAATGGCTATGTGAACCTGGACAAAGTTACTTAACCTCACAGTGATAAAGACAACTCAAGGAGCTAGATGGGGCCAACCTATACATGTGACTGTTAGTCTTCACTTATTCTCACAAAAAAATCTGAAATTGTGCATGACCTGTAATTCTAGTAGTGTGTCCAACTTCCAATACACCTGCTTTAAAACTAAGAGCCTTAGAGAGAGACATTTTATAAATGATGGAACTAAGACTCAGATATAAAAGGGATTTATCCAGGGTCATATACTATGTGTAGCAGCATTCAATGTTAGGTCTTCTTAACTCAAGGTCAAGTACTCTACATATTACACCACACTACCTTTCTAGAGAAAAGAAAACATAACTAAACTTGAATTAAACCTATTTTCAAAGGGCCATTGTGAGAAAAGCCCTTTGAAAATGTTGGAAGAGAGGGAGAGAGAGAATGAGTCCATTAACTAATAAGGTTGTCCAAGAGAATAATTTAAGATGTCTTAAATTTGTCTAAATTCTTATATAATTGTTAGAAATCATGCAACAGGAAATAAAAATCTTATACACCTGTCATCACATTGTATACACAACATGTCATCAGTAAACCTGCAGAGAAATAAATATTTTAAATTACAAAAATCAAATACACACATATTAGGATTTAGGAATACTATTTCACAATAGTGAAATTCATTTTTACAAGATTCAGTATGGCTAAAACTACTCAAGTAGGAAGATCTGGGTAAAATGTTAGTGTACTTGGTAATTTATCAGGTGAATGGTTTTGTTAAAATGCCTTTAAGAGTGCTTCACCAACCAATATTTTCCAGAATCACAAGAAAAGACAAGCGAATCATGGAAAATAGTAAAATATTCTCATTAAACACTATTTGGAAACAGATTTCTTAATAACTTAAAAAATAAAAATTTTAATAGCACAAGAAGAAATATGGCATAGTAGAAAAATAAGGCGCCTTAAGAGAAAGGAGGTACTTACTCAAGTTCTGCCTTTAACACATACTAACTGACTTTGAGCAGCTAACAGTCTCTCAGTACAGTGGACAACTCTTTACGACTAACTGGCAGAACAAATCTTGTTGTGTGACATACCTCTCTTACCCTCTTGAAAAATAACAAAAACACAATTGATTATCTAAACCAATTCTGACATCAACTGTTAACTGTTTTCTATTAAAGTAGTAATTTAGGATCATCACAAATTAAATTCTTGCTAAAAATTATCATTAATTTTACTGTTTACTAATATTGAAAATCATGTCCAAGTCAAGAATAGCCTTTATCCTGAAAAGGAAACCAAACTACATTTGACTTTGTTTCAAATATTATTAGAGTGTGATATTAAGCACTCTGATCACTTTTCAAACCATGAATATTAAAGATAAATGTTCCTCTTTAAAAATGTATCTAGTAATACAGTATGACATTATGTTAGCAATCCTCATTACTATAAAGCTTAATTTCTCATAATGAGGAAAATATTTCCCTGATATTCCATGATTTCTCAACATATTCAACAGGAAATTCTTACACCCAATTAATGCGTAAGTTAATTAAAATTTTTACTTACTTGCAGTTCTGGCAGACTTTGCAGTCCGGACATTGCCAACCTGCTCTTTTTAATGGTGTGACTGCTATGTCCAGGCACATTCCATGGTAATGCTGGCCACAAGTAGTACAAAAGAATTGATCTCCAAGGTCTCCAGGACTGTCACAGACTGAACAGTTTGCTTCTTCTTTTGCTATAATTTAACAATAAAGTAAGGAAGTCATTTAACGACAATATAACATTTCTCAATGTGATATATATTTCTCAAATGTGATATACACCTATGCATATACCAATATAAAGTCAAAATGGGTTCATGATTTAGATATAAAGGCTGATACTATAAGCAAACTGGGAGAGCAAGGAATAGTTTACCTATCAGATTTAGGGAGAACAGAAGAATTCATGACCAAACAGGAGATAGAGAACATTATGAAATGCAAAATGGATAATTTTGATTACATAACATTGAAAAGTTTTCGCATAAACAAAGCCAATGCAACCAAGATCAGGAGGAAAGTAAAAAATTGGAAAAGAATTTTTACAACCAGTCTCTCTGATAAGGGCCTCATTTTTTAAATTTAGAAAATTAAGTCAAATTTATAAGAATACAAGTCATTCTCCAGTTGATAAACAGTCAAAGGATATGAACAGACAGTTCTCAGATGAAGAAATTAAAGCAATGTATAGTCATGTGGAAAAATTCTCTAAATCACTATTGATTAGAGAAATGCAAAACAAAACATCTCTGAGGTACCACATCACACCTATCAGATTGGCCAATATGACAAAACAGGGAAATGATACATGCTGGAGAAGATGTGGGAAAATTGGAACACTAATGCATTGTTGGTGGAGTTGTGAAATGATCCAAACATTTTGGAGAGCAATTTGGAACTATGCCCAAAGGGCTATAAAAATGTGCATACCCTCTGACCCAGCAACAGCACTTCTAGGGCTATATCCCAAAGAGATCATAGAAATGGAAAAAGGACCCACATGTACAAAAATATTTACAGCAGCTCTTTTTGTGGTAGCGAAGAACTGGAATTGAGGGAATGCCCATCAACTGGGGAATGGCTGAGCAAGTTGTGGTACATGAATGTAATGAAATACTATTGTGCTATAAGTAATGATGAGCAGGCAGACTTCAGAAAAACCTGGAAAGACTTGTATGGACTGATGCTGAGTAAAGTGAACAGAACCAGAAGAACGTTGTACACAGTAACAGCCACGTTGTGCAATGACTAACGTTGACAGACTTAGCCTTTCTCAGCAATGCAAGGATCTAAGCCATCTCCAAATGCCTCATGATAGAAAATGCTATCCACATCTAAAGAAAGAACTATGGAGTTTGAAAGCAGACTGAAGCATACTATTTGCTAATTTTTTTTCTTCTGCTTTGTTTTGTTTCCTCTTTTTGATGGTTCCAATTCTTCCTTACAACATCACTAAGGTGAAAATATGTTTAATAGGAATGTGTATGTATGGCTTATATCAGATTTTGCACCATCTTAGGGAGGGAGGTGGGGAGGGAGAGGTAGAAAAATTTAAATCTCAAAAGCCTATGGAAGTGATTGCTGATAAATCAAAATAAATTAATAAAAAAAAAGTCTCCTATTTCTAGTTTCATTAATGTGATTTTATTTTTTACATTTTTAAAGTTTATTTTATCTTCAAATTCCAAATTCTCTCCTCCCACTGAAAGATGCTATGGAAGAAAGATACAGATTTCTAAAAAGCATAAAAAGAAAACATCTTAAAAATGATAACTGGTCAGATAACATCAGGAAATAAAGTTAAAATATTGAAAAAAGTAGAACATATGAAATATTTGGTAAGAAAAAACAACTGATCTGGAAAGCAACTGGAGAGAGATAATGTTAAGAATCATTTGACTATTTGAAAGCCATGAACAAAAAATTAGTCTTAACCTTGTATTTCAAGAAATCTTGAAAGAAACCTGACCAGCAGTTATTACTATAAAGTGAAGAACTTGCCCCTAAAACAGATGAGAGTAGCATAATGGATAAGAACCTAGAATTTAAAAAGAAACACGCTTAGAAACAAAAGGATACACACAAGAGTTATAATAAATGACTGGAGCAAAATCTGTTATCCTTAACTTCAAAAGCAGTAGCAAAAATAGAGCTAATTAAAAGAAATAAACAAGGAAAGTACATTTTCCTAAAAGGTACCATAGTCAATGAATTAATATCATTACTAAACATATCTTCACCAAAAGGCATAGCATCTAAATATCTAAAGATAATATCTGAAGCTCTCTTTTCCCATTGTTTTCCTCTAATAGTCTCATAATTTAAATTTTTTTATTCCTTTTTTTAAAAATTTTCTTCAACTTGACTGGAAATTCCTATGTCAGTTTGCATTTTTCTTTAAGGCTTTGCTTATAGATTAAAAAAAAAAGTCATTATCTTCTTTGTGTCTTGAGCTTCCCTGTATCCATAGCAGCTCTCTACAGTCAGGTTCCTTTCCTCCTTTGATCTTTCTTCTAGCTTACTTCTTGACTTTGGATTTTATATTAGGGCTGGGCTCTGTGCAATTCTTAGAGGGAATGTATAGCCAGACCTTCTGAATTTCTAGGTAATTCTGCTGTTTTCTCACTTCAATCAAAAAGACAGTAACTTTTCAGTACTTTCAAAGGAGTAAAGATATCTTTATTCCACTCCAATTCAGAAGGTATTATCCACAGGGAAAACAGTTTGGTAAGGAAACCCTCCAAGTACATAGAATCTCCAAGGCCCTGAAATGGTCATTAGGAGTTTAAATTTGCTGTGATATTATAATCATCATCAAGAACTGACATTCTGGTAGCATTTTAAAATTTGCCAAGGGCTTTGCATGCATCACTGCACACATTAGTCTTTCTTAATAGCTCAGTTAATTAGATACTATTTGTTATACAAAAGAAATCATATTAAGTTCCTAGAAAAAAGTAAAATAGTAAAAGTGACGCTTGATGATTAAAAGGACAATGTTTTACTATGTCGCTTGGTATAATGGAAGGGATATAATATGTGGCTGAAGAAGAGAACAGTATACTATGGCTCAATGGAGTAATGGACAATGATAGACTTGATTCAAAAGGAATTGAGTTCAAATCTCTTTTTAGACACTCTTTTTGTCTTTGTGATCTTGATCACCTCATCTATCTCTTAACCTCAATCTCATCTGCAATATGTAGATAATACTAGCATTTGTTTAGTAGGGCTGTATTAAGAATAAATTGATAAAATATAAGTAAAGCAATTTGCAAACCTTTAAGGGCTATTTTAACTATTAACTACAAACCAGATGCAGAATGCTGAACTAAAAACAATTACAGTGATCCAAGTGTGAATGATGAAGTCCTGGATTCTAAGCGAGGTGGAGTACGGGAGAATAGAAAAGAAAACAGAAATAAAAGATGGCAATTCAATGGAATTATTAAGTAATCAAAAATGGTTTCCAAGAAAATTATAAATTTCCCAGACTTCCAAAGTGAGATACTTAAAGAAAAATAGAAATCCCTTTAATAGAAATGAGAAAATTAAAAAGGATAATCTACCCTCCTCTTCATTTGTTTTTTTGGATACAGTATGGTGAGAAATGTGAAATGATATACTCTGTATAGTGAACATGGATGTGGAAAAAGTTATATATTCATCTTCACTAACCTATACAAAAACAAAAGAATTTTTGAGCAATACGAAGGACCAGACTGACGTATGATAACATGATTTTGTAATGGAACTCATCTAGTGCTAAGGCTAACTTGAGAAATATCTAAAAATACCAGGAATGATTCAGGAGATCCAATATCGGAGGTTTGCATGATGGATGATACAGACAATAAAAAACAGGTAAAAAAGAATGGTAGGGTAATAGAAAAAGCTGATGGCGGAATCAAAAATTCCGAAGTGGGCCAATGAAGCCATGAAGAGCCAATGACTAGATGGCTGTGTAGAGCAGAAGGAATTAAATGATTAGCAATCCTAAAGATGATATGAATGAAGCTGAGCATATATGTATGAATTGTGATGGTAGACGGGATTGAAAAATTAATCTTGGAATTGAAACAATACCTTACCATAACATCTTGGATGAGACCATACTGATATACTTAAGATGTAATCATTGACATCAAGAAGATAAGGAAATATATCATGCCCATCATGGCTAAGCTACTTATGTTAGGGTTATCAATACAAATGCAGCTGTCACAAAGAATGAGGAAAGGAGAAAATTATAAGTAAAGTGTTACTATTACCTAATTAAAAGAAGGAGGTAATGGAAGGCTGGCATATCCTCCCCATGATGAAAATTAGGGGAAGGATAATAGATCTATGGACAAAACAGTTCATTGGAATTGAGAGGATGTTACAAACTTCCAAAACTAGTCAGGAAAATAAAAAGAAAGGGATATATTTAAAGATATGAGTTTTTCACGTTGGAGAGACTCAAAACTATACCGCAAGCCTTTCCAAAGATAGGCAAGATTTTTCTTTAGTTGACTTTTTTGTTCATTTGTCAAAAATAATATGGAATAGAACACCATTCAGAAAGCAGATTTTGATAAGTTTTCCAGTCACTGTTAATTATTAGTCTCAACATACCATTTTTCCTAGAAGAGGAGAGTCAATAAAATGGAAATTTTTTTCAGGTTGGACAGTGAACAGAACTCTGCCAGTTGGAGAAAATATCGGTGCCCCATGCATTTATATGTGTAGGTATGTTATTCCATCTCTGGTTCTTCAACACAGAGAGTTAGGTGATTATGTTCAATGCATACTGAATTGAAGGTGAACAGTTTCTTAAACAACTGAGAGCAACTGATTATGCTAACTTGTAGGTTCCCTACTATTAAAATATGATACAATAAAATCAACTGAATGCAAGTAGAAATTATACAAAAAACATTTCCCTACATTGGTGAAGTCTAATGTACTAGAAGATACACAAAAAACTTTGATAAAACAAAAATATCATCACAGATAAAATTAAAATACTTGTTAAGGAAATTTGTTCTATTATTATGTCATCTTACTTTGAAGAATTCAAAGAAGTCCTACATGGAAAAGTGTTTTGTCTCAAAATTTAATAGATATTTTTGGGGAAAAAGTAAAGCATTATTCGTTAGTTCTCTAAAACTAAGAGGAAATTTCAATATATTTTATTTGGAGTTTACTACAACTTAGTCTCACAGCTCGTTTTGCTAGATTCTAAGAATAAAACTTATTTTACAACACCAAAAATGAAATTTACCATAACTGAAGGTTAAAGGCAAGTGAAGAGAGAAAGAATTTATCATTATATTTTCAAATACTTCCAACTACGCATTTCTTAAATATGTAGATGTGTCAGAGTTAAAAGAATGGGAAAACTTAAAAGAGAGCCATTAATGAATAAATGAATAAATAGTAGCCCATAGAGAGGTATCTAAAAAGTGAAAGACTGGACAAAGTAAAATGTTATTCATGTTCCAAAATTTTATTTTTATTCCAAATTTTTAAGAGGAAGCATCAGACATACAAAATATCTAACACATAATGAGAATAACTTTAAATATCTGATATCCAGAAGGGAGAAAATTTGAGTTAAATAATACAAGTAAGAGAATTTTAATACCTCAGAATTAAAAAATGAAGGTTAGAAAATGACAAACCAAAGTAACTAAAATAATAATTTTCATCTTTACAAGAACTGAATCATTACCAAAAAGAGAAATTTTTACTTTTAAAGGTACTATTGAACAAAAGACAAACTGTTCAAAAACGAATTAGACTACTTTGTACCTTGGTATACAACCTAAATGATCTCTCATTTCAATGGGCATACAACCTAAATTTTCTCTCTCTACTTTCAATTTGCCATCAAAAGATCACTCTTCTACTTAATTCCTTTAAGGATATATGTGATTACTGTTCTGAAAATATACACACAGTGTGAATATATCCGAGGTCTCAATGTTTTTGAAGTAAAGAATAATGTACACCTCTCAATATCACATTTCTTTCTAGAATAACTGACAATGCAGTTCCAAATTTTTCCTGTAATAGAAAGTTATAATATCATATTTCACAGGACCTACTCAATTACAGCTGGGTAATTTGAAATATTTTCTACTTAAGTAAATGCACTGATGAATTTGTAAATATATCTATATGTCTATAATATGTAACATACTTACATCTTTCAGGAGCCTGGTCAATGTGTTCTGGACAAAGAAGGGAGAAATTACTGATATCCTGAAAAGTGCCTGCTCCAGCAGCACAAGGGTAATGGTACATCTGGGTACATTTTTCTTCACAGCATTTGATAGTGGCTCCAAGGTGCTTACAAAATGCACATCGCTGAAAGTGGGGGAAAACAGAAATTTCCTTTTATAACTTTGACAAAAACTTGAAGTCTGGAAAGAAACACTTCTTTTCAAGATATCAGTAAAAACAAATTCAGAACTCAATCAAATACTAGTACATTTGTTAAAAGGATTCAAGTGGAATAATAATTTAGATCTGGGGTTATGTTTATCAATGGCTCATAGAATTATTGATGCAATCCCCACTTCAAAAAAATTATCAAAGAACAAATGTTTATAACTAGCTTAACCATTAACTAATAAACACAAATATACTTAGAAAAAACCTATTTAAAATGTCTATTGCAAATGACGTAGCAACCATAATGAATAAATCTAATAAACAATTGCAAGAATATGCTAAGGAATGACGGTGAGGATATGTGAAATTTCAAGAAATTCCAAATGTTTTTCTTTGGTTTTTGTTTCCACAAAGACAATTTAGTGAAGTTAAAAAAACAGACAAACCAGATTTAAATCTCAATGATATCTTACTCATAGAGTGAAACTAGGGAAAAATTAAATAACTTCCTTGATTTTTTATTTCCTCATCTTTAAAATGGGTATAAACAATACTGAAGCCATCTACCTCACAGGGGTAATTATAAGAATATTTATCTGTAGATCTTAAGGTATAATATAAATGCTTATTCTCTTTTACTCAAGAGCGGTTAACAAGAAGCAAAATAGACAATATCTTTTTCCACTTTGGTTTCATTCCCCTCTAAAGGGGGAGGCATCTGTCATTAAAATACGTCTTATTCAAATTTCTATCTTCTGTGGGCTTAAGCCTGTATATTTTAGATAGCAATTTGTCAAATAAATTTGAGCCAAAACCCAGTTTGGTAGGATGTACTTATGATCAAGGGAACAAGTCAAATAATGAAACAGATATAAACTAAACCTCTGCCTTCAATACCATATATCATTTTACAAGATCAGAAACTTAATTACATTTGCAACAAAAACTATTGTCAAGAGAATGAAATCTCTAACTGCTTTGAGAAAGACTGGAATATGCCCAACTCATTAATTTACAGCACCATACAAAGATGCTAAAAGGCTGAAACAATGCCCTAATTACAATTAATTGAACCCTTCACAAACTAATTTGCTACCAACTATGTAGCAAAGCAAAAACATCCAACATCTAAGGAAGGGAAACCTGTTACATATAATGTACTGTATTAATCTGATCCAAAACTATTAAATATTAACTATCAGCATTTGCTAAATGTACAAGAAACTGTGATTTTTAAAAAAAAAAATGACCTAAGCATGATTATAAATTTGACTAATGTTTAGAAAGGGAGGAGTATTCAGCTCTTGAATGGCTGAAATTTTAAAATTTCTTTGGCCAGATAATCCCAGGCCTCATTATTTTCTTTTACAACTGCTCAAATGTTTTCTTAGCCATCGTGTGACCTTGTGAATAGAATCATATGCTCAAAAAAATTCTCAATGAAAAATCAGGTCATCAGCTGCAAATGTATATTGTTTAACAAATTTTAATATTCTAATAGCTTAGGAATAATAAGAAAATACTGGGAAAAAATGTTCCTAGAAGGATTAGAATATCTAAATTGCATAGGATTTCAAAAAGAGTTCAAAAGACACCAGACAAAATGAAAAAATTTGTTTTATAGAATAGCTAGTATAGTAGAAGGTTTTTTAAATCTATTAAAAAAAAACACACAGACATGTCACTGACACAAACACACATGATGCACACCTACTATTTCTTTCCCTGAACTCAAAGTGGTTATAAGAAATATATAAGTTACGGACGTCTGCCAAGAAATTTACAATATGGTTGGGGAGGCAAGATTCATGAAAAATTGAGCAATTATTAATATCAAAGGTAAACAATACAACACAAAGTATATCAAAATGTAGAGCATAATTAATTCCAAGATGAACTGCAAAAAGTGTTACAGAATTACAGAAAGTGAAATCACCATAGACTGTAATAGTCTAAGACACATTTTCTAAAGAAGACTAAAATAAAATTAAGGCCAGTGTCACCAGATCAAATGAAAAGTCAACTTCAGACCCAAATAAGCTCTTAAAAGATTCCATATATATTAATGTATAAGACAAATTACAGTGCTCATTTATGGGGGGAAAAAACCTACAAAGTACAGGCATAGATGAACTTTTAGTGTCAGAAAAAGTAATTGCCTAAAATCAAAAGCAAGCATGACTTGCAATACTGATGAATTAGAAGTCTCACAATAATTATTATTTCATATATTTCTGGAAATGCTAACAGGAAGATTAACACAAGAGAAAGTCAAGTCAAATCAATAAGCATTTATAAATCACCTATTTTGTGACATATAATATGCTACGTGCTAAATACAATTAAAGACTATAAAGTAAAGAAAAAATAAAACTATCTCTATTTGCTCATGAAATGTTGGTTTACTTAGAAAATCACAGGGCATCAGAACAAATATAAAAATAGAGATAATCAGCACCTTTAGTAAAGCTGTAAGATACAAAATAAACCCTCAAAAATAAAAGCATTTCTAAATAATAATCAATTCCAGGACTCAATAATATAAAGGCAAGTTTGATTCAAAACATTCACCAAAAATACACACACACACACACACACACACACACACACACAGATACGTGTGTAATTCAAGCTACCAAAATACCTGTACAGATTAAAATACAAAATGTTCCTTAAAAAAAAATAAAACTTAAATAGCTGGAGGAATATTTAATGCTCATGGCTGGGCCATGCCAATTTAATAAACTATATAACAGTTATAATAAAATTATAATCTTACCAAACCTAATTTATATTTTTGATTCTATAACAATCAAATTTTGAAATGGATACATTTAAGAACTTATTAACCACAAAATTCATTAAGAAAAATAAAAGATCTAGAGTATCAAGGGAAATAATTAAAAGAAATGCGGATGAAGAGCGAATAACACTTTTAGATTGCAAATTACATTATAAAAGTAGCACTCATCAAAAATATCTGGTACTGGTTAAAAAAATAAAAAGATAAACATTCAATGTGGTAGGAGTAATGGAAAGACACACTAAAATATTATTCTTGGAGCTGTGAAATGTTACAGGCATTTTAGAAAGGAACTTGGAATTATGCAAATAAAGTGACTAAAATGTTCATACCCTTTGAACCAAAGATGCCATTACTGGGCTTTATACACTAAGGAAGTCATCAATAAGAAAAGAAAGTCTCCATATACTCCAAAATATTTACAGCAGCATTTTTTGTGATAGCAAAGAATTAAAAATCAAGGAGATGTCCATCAGGTGAGGAATGAGTAAAAAAATTGTATATGAATATAATGAAGTATTAATGTGCTATTAGAAATGGTGTGTGTGAATACAGAAAACCATGGAAAGATATATATGAACTGATGCAGGGTAAAGTAATGACAGCCGAGAAAACAATAAACACAATAACAATGCAAATGAAAAAAAGTGACACACCGAAAAGCAAAAATAATTTTTTAAACAAAAGAGAAATAGAACTCTAATGAAGACATTAAGAGAAGATAGCCTGCCCCAACGTACACCTTAGTAGAGGTAAGAGGGCCACATGTATATGTTTATATATACAGTGTACATGTCTCTGAATTTTTCAATATACTTATCAATTGTGCTTACTTTTTTTTTCCTTCCTTTTCTTTTCTTCCCCCCGCTCTACCCACCATGGACATGAGTTTTATCAGCCTTCTGTTGGTGGAGGAAGGCAGCAGGGGAAGAAAACTGGATGGGGACATATCCTTTGTCCTGAATTTAGTTCATATGGCCTGGAGTTAGGGGGTCAGAAAACAGCAGCAGAAGTAGATGAGGTGATGGGAATGGAGGTGAGGGTGGCTCTGGGACCACCAGGGGCATGATATGAATATTGGGGTAGGTGTAGGAAGGTTACCTTATTTTTTTCTCCTTTCTAAAAAACCTATGTAGCATATGTGATGGCTCTCTATAAAGGGAAACAGGAATATAGGTACATTATGCTGATATAAGAAAGAGAAAATATCAATAAAAACTTATGTAAAAAAGAGATCAATAGAACAGACTAGACAAGAGAGAATTATAAACAAGACTCAATAATTCAGTACTCAATAGTTCAGGAAACAAATTACTTACAACTGAACTCCCTATTTATTAAAAACTGGTAGGAAAATAGCAATTGCAGAAATTACTTTATTCCCCCTTACATTTTAAATGGATACATGATCATACTACCAAAAAAAATCATATACCATTCATAAATGAGTAAGAGACATATTATAAACCAAACAAGTGAAGGAGAAAATTATAAAAGAAAAACTGAAAACTAGTAATATGGATCAGAATAGTTCCTGAACAAAAAAAAAAAAAAAAAAAAAGTTCCTGGAATAAGAGGGAAAAGGACCCAATGGAAAAAATCTTTTTTTCCATCAAATTTCTCTGATAAGAGTTTGCTACACTTTAATAATTAATGGATAAAACCAAAAGCCATTAACCAATAGATAAAAAGTCAAAAGACATCAGCTTTCAAAGAACCGTCAGCTATTAACAATTATATGGAACAAAGCCCCAAATCACTGATAATCAAAGAAATGTAAACAAAACATCCCCAATGTTTCATTGCACACCCTGAAAAATAGTGAAGAGGACAAAAAATAAGAATAACCAACACTGAAGGTGATTAATGGAAGTATGACACAAAAGTGTGTTGCTGATGATGCTGTGGATTTATGAAACATTTTGGAAAGTGACTAATGTTCATACCCTTAAACCCAAAGATTCTACTACTTCTCCAAGGAGATCGCTTATAACAAGAAAGTCTCACACAAAGTACTCACACAAGTACCATTTGAAAAGTTGAGTTATTTGTCAAGGCACACAAAAGTGATATTTTAGGCAGGACTTAAACCCATGTCTTCCAAATTCTAACTCCCTTGGAAAAGTTTAGATTTATATCATCTTTGGGTATGAAAATAAATCACATATCT